TTTACTTTTTCGAACTTTACTTTCTATCAAATTTTATTTTTTATTGAACTTTACTTTCTATATAACTACTTTCTATCGAATTTTACTTTTTATTGAACTTTCTACTGAACTTTATTTTGTTGAACTTTACTTTCAACTGAACTTTTCTTTTTGTTGAACTTTACTTTCTATCGAACTTTACTTTTGTTGAAATTTATGTTTTGCTGTTTTACTTTCTAATTAACTTTACTTTCTATGGAATACGTTTTCTGCTTTTTCTGTTTTTTCTATTTCTCGTTCTGTCGTATACCGTTTTAGAATTATGTAATGTGTTCTTTTTGTATTACTGTAGTATAGTGTATATTTTCTTGTTTTACATATTTCGATTATTTAGTCTTACTGTATTGTACTGTCTCACCTCATCTGATTCTTTTCACGTTCTTATTATATTGTATGTAATCCTCCTTTCTTTTATTCCTTTCTTTTATATGAAGTCAGAACTCTTTCTTTCCAGAGAGTCAATTCTTAGCAAACTTTCAAGTGAAACTTTATTTACATAGGGTTTGTAGCTCTCTCTGGAGTGTGTATGTGCATGTGTATGTATAATGTTTGTGTATGTGTGTTGTGTGTGTGTGTGTGTGTGTGTGTGGTGTGTGTGTGTGTGTGTGTGTGTGTGGTGTGTGTGTGTGTGTGTGTGTGCGTGCGCGTGCGTGCGTGCGTTCGTGCGTGTGTATACATGCGCATCTGCATATGCGTCCGTGCGTGTGTATGTGCGTGTGGCGTGGGCGTTGGGGCGTATCCACCCATCCACCACTCTCCCTTCCGATGAACATCTCTGGAGTTAATATTCCCGGGATGATCAGATCTGATTTATGAATATTACACCGGATTCACCCTGATCTATTGGCGATTCCGGGAGAAGTTGTGCCGCTTCTGGGATTTATGGAGGGGGAGAGTGATCCGGTGGGGGGGCGGGGCGGCGGAGAGGAGATTAAAGGGAAGGGGGAAAGGAAGAAGGTTATAGGGAAGGAGGGAGGAGGGAAGGAGGAAGGAGGAGGGAAAAGGGATCGTGATATGAGAGGAAGGTGAGACATTCCGGCAGGAAAAGAGAAAAGGAGAAAGAGTGTGATTGAGTGAGTGAGTGAGAGAGAGAGTAATAAGAAAAAGAGAGAGAAAGAGAGTAGAGAGAGAGAGAGAGAAAAGAGAGAGAGAGAGAGAGAGAGAAAGAGAGAGAGAGAGAGAGAGAGAGAGAGGAGAGAGAGAGAGAGAGAGAGAGAGAGAGAGAGAGAGAGAGAGAGAGAGAGAGAGAGGGACTAGGATGAGAGAGGAGAGAGAGAGAGAGAGAGAGAGAGAGAGAGGAGAGAGAGAAGATAGAGAGAGAGAGAGAGAGAGAGAGAGAGAGAGAGAGAGAGAGAGAGAGAGAGAGAGAGAGAAGAGAGAAGAGAGAGAGAGAGAGAGAGAGAGAGAGAGAGAGAGAGAGAGAGAGAGAGAGAGAGACAGAGAGAAACAAAGAAGAGAGATAGAGTGAGAGTAATAAGATAAAGAAACAAAGAAAGAAAATAGAAAAAACAGACATACAATCAGCCAGACAAGTAAACAAAGCCGCAGACAAACAAACAAAACAAACCTACAAACACCAGCAGAACAAACAGAAAACATTCAGCATCAGCTCTTGTGTAGAATGCCGAGTCGTGTCGTAAAAATATGGCTTCAAGGGAGAGACTAATATAATTAATTATTCCCCGAATTTCAACACGCTTTAATTGGCTTGTGTCGCCTAAAAGAAAAATATCTTCGCTACCCCCTTTCTCCTTATCTTTTTTCTACTTCTTCGTCCTTGTCTTTGTTTCTTTCTATCTTTACTATTCTCGATCGTTATTTTCTTTTTTTCTCCCAATCCCTTTTAAATCCTCTCTTTTCCCCTCCCTTTCCCTCTCATTTTAACTTTCTTTTCCGCCTCCCTTTCCCTCTTTTTAACACTCTTTTCCCCTCCTATTCCCTCTCTTTTTAACTCTTTTTCACCTCCCATCCTATTTCCTCTTTTTAACACTCTTTCCCCCACCCTTTCCCTCTCTGTTTAACACTTTTCCCCTCCCTTTCCCTCTCTTTTCCCCTCCCATTTCCTCTCTTTTTAACACTCCACCTCCTATTCCCTCTTTTAAACAATCTTTCCCTCTATTTCTAACACACTTTTCCCCTCCCTTTCCTTCTCTTTTTAACACACTTTTCCCCTCCTTTTCCCTCTCTTTTTAACACACTTTTCCCCTTCCTTTCCCTCTCTTTTTAACATTCTAATCTGAAAAGCACCGTCCGTAATGGCAATGTATAAAATGTTCACACACACGTTAAACAAATCACCGTTGTGCACATAAGTCCCAGTTCTATTTCCACCGAAAATGGAACACTGAATCTTATCTTCCAGGATATACGGTATATATACTGTGAGTGAGTGAGTGTGTGTGTGTGTGTGTGTGTGTGTGTGTGTGTGTGTGTGTGTGTGTTGTGTGTGTGTGTGTGTGTGTGTGTGTGTGTGTGAGTTGTGAGTGAGTGAGTGAGTGAGTGAGTGGTGTGTGTGTGTGTGTGTGTGTGTGTGTGTGTGTGTGTGTGTGTGTGTGTGTGTGTGTGGTGTGTGTGTGTGTGTGTGTGTGTGTGTGTGTGTGTGTGTGTGTGTGTGTGTGTGTGTGTTGTGTGTGTGTGTGTGTGTGTGTGTGTGTGTGTGTGTGTGTGTGTGCGTGCGTGCGTGTGTGTGTGTGCGCACGTGTGGGTGTGCATGTGCATGAAAATGACAAATCGTGATAGCGCCACATAAACTCTACGGACGACAACCCACATTTAAATACATCCGCTATGAAGAACCTGATCTGCGATAAACCGGACGAACGAAACTCAGTTCTCAGGAATATCACATGCTTTCCGCTCTCATCCGCTAACAAGCTATTACATATATCAATCATAAAATTAAATAAACAAATAAACAAATAAGATTTTTTTTAAACCCACCCACACATCCAAGCATCCATCCACACATCAGAACACAAAACATTTCAAAGTAAATATCATCCTCTCCTTTATGTCTGACGGTGCGCATGTCTCACAGATACCCCGTTAAAAAGCATAAACGCTGACATAGTGCTGACCCGGGATTAGCAAACGAGAATACGTGACAGAATGCAGAGCGCGCCGTAAAAATGTAAAACATGCGATAAAGTCCAAAGTATGTGATCATGCTTGGGATACAGGATAAGGCCCTCACAAACAGAAAAGGTGAGAATATAATCTTTAAGACCGGAAGAGGAAATAGCCACATTAAAGGTAATGCCAACTAATTCCCAATAAATTATAGAAAGATGCTCTTAACACCTCCAAGTAAATTCTCAAGGGCGTTCTCTGGCTATTCGCCTCAGAAAAGGTGAAAAATTTTGCTCAAATGAAACCAAAAAAAGGAAAATGACAACTAATACACAATAACTACTGGATAGAGATGACGATTTCAGCACCTACAATTCTCAAGGTCGTTCTCTGTCTATTCGCCTCAGAAAAGGTGGAAATTTAAGCTCAAATAAGACCAAAAAAGGAAATAGCCACAATAAAAGCAATGCCAACTAATTCCAAATAAGGTCCAGATAGAGATGACAATTTCAACACCTACAATTCTCAAGGACGTTCTCTGTCTATTCGCCTCAGAAAAGGTGGAAATCTAAGCTCAAATAAGACCCAAAAAAAAAGGGAAATAGTCACAATAAAAGCAATGCCAACTAATTCCAAATAAGTTCCAGATAGAGATGACCATTTCAACACCTACAAGTAAATTCTCAAGGACGTTCTCTGTCTATTCTCCTCAGAAAGTTGAAAATCTAAGCACAAATGAGACCAAAAAAAAGGAAATATCCACATTGAAAAGCAACGCCAACTAATTCCTAATGAGTTCGAGCGAGAGCCGACGGCCCCAACACCTACAGTAGTAGCTTCCCAACGACGTTCCCCGGCTCCTCGTCTCAGAAGACACGAAAACACCGTCCTTCGCGCTTCACTACTTTCCTGTTACCGGGGAGGAGCGGCTCTCCCGAGGGGCCTGGAGCGCGCCTTAAGTATTTATGAAGGCGCAGGAAGAAGGTGCGCTGCAGGTAAACACTCCAGAGGAGAGGATGGAGTGGGAGTACTTTTGTACACGTGTAAGAAATGTGTGTATGCGGCGCGCCACCCGTTTGAATGTGTGTGTGTGTGTGTGTGTGTGTGTGTGTGTGTGTGTGTGTGTGTGTGTGTGTGTGTGTGTGTGTGTGTGTGTGTGTGTGTGTGTGTGTGTGTGTGCGTGTGTGTGTGAGTGTTGTGTGTGTGTGTGTAATTACATATACGCATACACACACACATAAACACCTATACGCACAAACAGACGCAAAAAAAAAAAGACCACACGCACGGTCTACCTCTAACCCCCCCCCCCTTCCCACCCTACCCCACCGTACACACACTCAGCACATACGCAGTACATCTCCACAGGCTTTTACCTACTTACTGAGATGTGATGTATCTGTTTTGGCGGTTTCCGGCTTTGTACACAAATCTAGTTATTTTTTTCGAACATGACGTTACTCGTGTGTCCGAACCCTGTCAGATATATATTTTTTTTATGTTTATTATAATCAATATCATTAACATCAAATTTTTTTATTATTTATTGTTACTTTTACTATTACTTGTTATCCTTCAATTACCCTTATCGTCTTTATTATCACTATGATTATCATTATTTTCACAATCATCATCATCATGACTATCATCATTATCATTATCATCATAACTATCAATTTCATCATTATCATCATTACTACATCATCATTACTGTTTGTTATCCTTATCATCATCAAAATTACTATTTTCCTTTCATGTGCCATTACTCTCGCGATCTTCTTTGAGACAACATTAAGAGAAAGGAGTAGGAGGAGGAGGAGGAGGAGGAGGAGGAAGGAGGAGGAGAGGAAGAAGAAGAAGAAGAAGAAGAAGAAGAAGAAGAAGAAAAGAAGAAGAAAGAAGAAGAAGAAGAAGAAGAAGAAGAAGAAGAAGAAGAAGGAGAAGAAGAAGAAGGAGAAGGAGAAGGAGAAGGAGAAGGAGAAGGAGAAGCAGAAGGAAAAGGAAAAGGAGAAAGAAGAAGAACAAACAACAACAACAACAAAAACTACAACAACAACAAAAAAAAGAAGAAGAAGAGAGGAGAGAGAAGAGAGAGCAGATGGGGGGGAGGAACACCATATCCCCCTCCCCTCCCTCCCCCCCTCCAAAGTCAAGATAGCTGCCGGCTCGCATTCATCACAGCTTTAACGGACTTGTTATGCAAATGACGTGATGGCGAGGCAGACGGACGATGACGACTGGACTTGTTGTCTGTCTGTGAATGACGCCGTTGTTGTTGTTGTTGTGTTTGTTGTTGTTGTTGTTGTTGGTTGTTGTTGTTGTTGTTGTTGTTGTTGTTGTTGTGGTTGTTGCTGTCGTTGTTGCTGTTGTTGTTTTATGTCGAGTTATGGTTCTATTCTGGGGTTCTCTTCCTAATTAAATTTTCCTCTATGTTTTTTTCCCCCTTTCTTTCTAATTTGTGTCTTCTCTTTTATTTTCTCTTCTCTTTTTCTTGTTATCATTATCATTAGTCTCCTTTTTATCTTTATTTTTATTTTTATTCTTCATCTTCTTCTCCTAATCCTACTCCTATTTCTTCTTCTTCTTCTTCTTCTTCTTCTTCTTCTTCTTCTTCTTCTTCTTCTTCTTCTTCTCCTTCTTCTCCTTCTTCTCCTTCTCCTCCTTCTTCTCCTTCTTCTTCTTCTTCCTTCTTCTTCTCTTCTTCTTCTTCTTCTTCTTCTCTTCTTCTCTTCTTCTTCTCTTTCTTCTCTTCTTCTTCTCCTTCTTCTCTCATTTCTTTCTCTCTGTTCCTCTCCTGTGTAACCCACTTTCCCTAATAATTGCTAGTTAGATTATACCCCAATTTCAAGCATCCGTCTCTCTTCCCCTTTTTCTCTCTATTCCCTTCCCTCCATCATATTTTTCTTTCCTTCTCCCCTATTTCCATTCCCCTTTTTCTCTTTCCTTTCTCATACTTTCTCTCCTCCCTTTTTATTCTCTCCCGTCTCCTTTCTTCTTTTTTTACTTCCCCTCCCCTTTTCGATTCCCTCTCCTCCGTTTACCCTCTCCCTTTTCCTTCTCACTCCCCCATTTCCCTTCTCCCCCGTTCCCCTACTTACATCTCTTTCCCACTTCATTCCCCTATTTTCTTCTCCTTTCCATTCCCTTTTCTCTGTTTTCCTTCCCCTATTGTCTTCTGCTTTCCCTATTCTTTTCCCCATTTTCCTCTCCTTTCCCTTCCTTCTCCGTTTCCCCTCCACTATCTTCCTCCCCCTTCCCTTCCCATTTCCCCATTTTCCACTCCGTTTCTCCTCCACTGTCTTCCTCTCCTTTCCCTCCCCATTCCCTCATTTTTCCCTCCTTTCCCTTCCCATTCCCCCATCTTCCTCTCCTTTCCCTTCCCTCTTCTCCATCTCCCCTCCCCATCTTCCCCTCCTTTCCCTTCCCATTCCCCCATTTTCCCTTCCCACCCCCATTTTCCCCTTCCCATTCCCCCCATTTTCACCTCTTTTTCCCTTCCCATCCCCCATTTTCCTCTCCTTTCCCCCATTTTCCCCTCATTCTCCTTCCCATTCCCCATTTTCCTCCCCATTCCCCAATTTCTTCCCCATTCCCCCATCTCCCTCTCCTTCCCCTTTCCGCCCGAGTGCCATTACTGAGTAACAAGTCCATTACGGATTTACAGGCGAGTGTGAAGTCTCGCTCGGGTCGGATTCTAACGACATTTGTTCCGAGCGGGTATTTCGGGGCGAGGGGAAGGAGGGCTCCCGGCCGTGTTTCCCTCGCTAGTGTGGCTCTCTCTCTCCCCTCGCTAGTGTGGCTCTCTCTCTCCCCTCGCTAGTGTGGCTCTCTCTCTCCCCTCGCTAGTGTGCTCTCTCTCTCCCCTCGCTAGTGTGGCTCTCTCTCTCTCTCCCCTCGCTAGTGTGGCTCTCTCTCTCTTTCCCCTCGCTACTGGCTCTCTCCTCTCCCCCTCGCTAGTGTGGCTCTCTCTCTCCCCTCGCTAGTTTGGTTCCCTCCCCTTTCTAGTGTGACACTCTTCTTGCTAATCTGATGCTCTCATTTGCTAGTCAGCCACTCCCCTCTCTTATCTGCCTCCCTCCCCTCGCTACCTCTCTACCCTCTCCCTTTGCTAGTCTGCCTCCCTCCCCTTGCTAGCCTGATAGTCTCCCTTGCTAGTCTGCCTGTCTACCGCCTGCTCCAATATACCTTATTTGTCTATGCCCCCCTCACCTGCTTTTTTGTCTGCCTCCCTCTCCTAGCTTACCCACTTGTCTTCCCCATCCCCCTTTATCCTCTCCTAAATTTCTCCTAAATTGTTATTTTTCGCCTTCTGTCCCACCCTTTTTGCCTGGCTGTCTGCTGCCCATTCTTTCCTGGTTGTCTGCTTGCTACGCCCTCCATCTCTCCCACTTTGCCTTTTTGCAGGCATGCCAATCCCACCTCTAGTTTCCATTAGCTTAGAGAGAGAGAGAGAGAGAGAGAGAGAGAGAGAGAGAAGAGAGAGAGAGAGAGAGAGAGAGAGAGAGAGAGAGAGAGAGAGTGAGTGTGTGTGTGTGTGTGTTGTGTGTTGTGTGTGTGTGTGTGTGGTGTGTGTGTGTGTGTGTGTTGTGTGTGTGTTGTGTATGTATGTATGTATGTATGTATGTATGTGTGTGTGTGTGTGTGTGTGTGTTGTGTGTGTGTGTGTGTGTGTGGGTGTGTGTGTGTTGTGTGTGTGCGCGCGCGCGTGTACCCTTCGTTCTTCCGTTCACCTTTTCTCTTAACATTTCCCTCTCTTCCCTTATTCTCGCCCCGTCATCCACAATCGCACTTCATCCTTTTCCTCCCGATCTTGCCTTTATTAGCACGTTCTCGTTTCTGTCATCATCATTTATCCTTCCTCTCCATTCTTGTTTCGACCCTCTTCTTACATCCCTTCCTCTCTTCCTTCTCACTTACGACGCTTATTCGCCTAAAATCAATCATCTCTTTTTTC